GACTCTAGACTTTCTGGCCCATGGAAGCTGGATGAACCCCTGAAACTACTACCCTGAGATAATCTTTAAATAAACCTCAATAAATAAACCTTAAACTAAAAATATCCCCTGAATTCATCTTAAAAACTGAACAACAGTTTAGATTAGATAGGAACCTTAGAGGGCAGTGAGTTTATGTTAATGAGGGAGGAACAACTTAGAAAAGGAGGGTGAGAATGGTCGAACAACTCAAAGAATGTAATCAATGTCACTAAACTAATGTAGGAACTGTTAAAAAAAATAACATTGTAAATGTTAGTAATAAATAGGACTTCAACATGGCAAAAAAAAAGTGAAGGAAAAATAAAGACTTTTTCAGACAAACAAAAATTGAAGTGATTTGTTGCCACTAGATCTGCCTTCAGAGCCCTGGTGGCGCAGTGGTTAATAGTTTGACACTTAACAGCAGCTGCTCCTTGGAAACCCTATGAGGCAGTTCTACTCTGTCCTATAAGGTTGTTATGAGTCAGAATCTACTCGATGGCAATGGGTGTTTTAGAACTGCCCTAGAAGAAATGTTTTAAAAAGTTCTTCAGGCGGAAGGGAAATGATATTAGTCAGAAACTCAAATCTACAATAAGAAAGGAAGAGCACTTAAGAAGGACCAGATGAAGGTAAAATAAAATCTTTTATTTCTCTTATTCTTAATGGATCTAACAGACAACAGATTGTTTAAAATAATAATAGCAACAATATACTGGATGAGTATAACTTATGCATAAGTGAAAAATCTGACAGCAATGTTATAAGGGACAGGAGGGAGGAACTGGGAATACTTAGTTATAACATACCTGTACTAACCATCAAGTAGTATAATGTTATTTGAAAGTGGACTTAGATTAGTTGTAAAGGTATACTGCAAACTCTAGAGCAACTACTAAAAATTTTTTTAAAAGAATTATAATTGATATGATGAGAGAAGAGAAAATGAAATCATACAAACTGCATACAAATTAGGAAGGAAGAAACAAAACTGTCTTTGTTCACAGATGATACGACTGTCTATGCAGAAAATTCCAAAGAATCTACAAGTGATTACAGCATTGTAGCAGGATACAAGGCCAACTGCTTTCCTATAAACTAGCAATGAACAACCAGAATTTGAAATTAAAATCATAACATCATTTACACTATCACCCCCCCAAAAAGGAAATTAAATACTTTAGCATAAATCTAACAAAATATGTGTGAGATCTATAAGTGGAAAACTACAAAACACTGATAAAAAAATAAAAGATTTACATAAACTGAGATATAATACGCTGATGGATAGGAAGACTTAATATTATTAAAATATCAATTCTTCCCAACTTGACCTATAGATTCAATGCAATCCCAATTAAAACCAGCAAGTTACTTTGTGGATACCGACAAACTGATTTTAAAGTTTATATGGAAAAGCAAAAGACCCAGAATATCCAACACAATGCTGAAGAACAGGGAGGAGGACTGACACTACCTGACTTCAAGACTTATAAAGTTGAACAAAACCTAAAGACCTAGCATACCCACTACAAGGTATATATTCTAGAGCAATATTTTTCAAATTATGTTGAATTCAACTTAGTGGGTTTTGACCCAGATTTTAAAATTGGGATGCATAAAGAGAAGAAAAGAGGAGGGAGTAAGAAGTAATAAGGGTTTAGTACTGTTTTATGAAAACGTTTGGTTTAGTTATATGTTTTGTTATTTTTATGCAAATAACAAGTGCCTTCTGCATTTGTTTGCCAGCTGCACCCTCCCCCGTGAGGTATTTTCATAAGCATGCTATGCTAATTTATTTTTACTGCAACGTGTGGAAGAGGACTGGCATGGCGGCGTTTTGTAAAGGTGTCTTATGGGAGGAGGGTGCAGGCAGCAAATAAACGAAGAACGTGTGCATTATTTGAGTAAAAAATATGGTATACATAGTAAAGTGTTTCCCCTCCCCCATAAACTACCATAAAATTGATTGTTCATTAAAAGACAACTGATTGTGTACATTGCTTATGTTGCAGAAATCATAGCATAAAAAGTAGACTTAGCTTTTATCATCTACCAACTGTAAACCCTCCATGGCATCTGCATCTTAAAGCTAAAGCATTATAATGAATTATCCTAAACAGCAAAAGTCTGATCACTGATCAGATATATAACATCAGTTACCTAATAGAGAGAGATGGGTAACTTAAATGTATTTATATATAACAGAATGGAAAGTTTTATTATTACCATACTTTATGACTTTGGCAAATACTTAATGTCCTTTCAAAGTCAAGTAATCCTAACACACACACACACACACACACACACACACACAC